GTAATAGAGTTGTGGATGAGTGGAACAAACTCCCAAGTACCGTTATAGAGGCCAGAACGTTGTGTAGCTTTAAAAATAGGTTGGATAAATACATGAGTAGATGTGGGTGGGTGTGAGTTAGACCTGATAGCTTGTGCTACCAGGTCGGTTGCCGTGTTCCTCCCTTAAGTCAATGTGACCTGACCTGACTAGGTTGGGTGCATTGGCTTAAGCCGGTAGGAGACTTGGACCTGCCTCGCATGGGCCAGTAGGCCTTCTGCAGTGTTCCTTCGTTCTTATGCTCTTATGTGTAAGTAGACACACGTACTTGCCTGGCGCAGGACACTGAGGAGGTGAACTGTAGCTTGATGGAGCACTGTATATCCTGAGTGGCGGCGAGACTGGCTGTATGGCGTGCGAAGAGAATTCAGGCAGCAAGAGGCTTCCTGCCCTTCGGTCGGCAACCACCGACGCACCAATCCTGATGGTGGAGAGGAAGACGAAGGTCCAGCAAGCACTACTCAAAGCACTACTCAACACGGGGTAATTCGAGAGAGGCGAGATCGTCGATGTGTTAGGTAAGCACACGTCACCACTCGAGCTAAGTCTGATCACTAACAGAGGTGGAGCAGGACGGCTATATATAGGCAGGAAGAGGTGGTGGTAGTAGTAGTAGTAGTAGTAGTAGTAGTAGTACAAGAATTGTATATAATACCGACAGGATGAAATTAAGACACATGCACAACACCCGGGCATCCCCATCGTAGACGTTTCGCCATCCAGCCAGCCACTGGATGGCGAAACGTCCACAACAAAGACAGCCAGACGCCGCACATGTGTCTTAATTTCAACAGTAGTTGTAGTAGAAGAAGAAGAGGTAGTAGTAGTGGTAGCGGAAGAAGTGGGAAATAAGGAAGACGAGCCAGTCAAATACAAAGGAAGGGGAGCACTGCAAGAGAGCTAGATACCCACAGAGGGAGAGCAAGCGCACCGAGGTGCGTGAAAGGGAAGTGGTGAAATAAAATAAATGAAGAAGGAACAGAAACACGAGGCAGGAGAGAGAAAGACAACCCAGAGGAGAAAAGGAGAGAGGAAAGGGGAAGAGGAAGAAGAAAAAGAAAAGAAAAAGTGAGGATTCAGGTTAAGTCACGGTGTTCTGAAGTTGGAGCATTTTACAATGTAGTGGGAGAGGAAGCATCTACAGAGACGAAGCCAGGGCTAAGGTTCATACAAGGAAAGTTGTGTATTAGAGAGGATTCAACTAGACGGCGACTGTTCGAGTTGGAAGTAGGGAAGACAGTTTTAGCAGAAGACCAGTCAATAGGATGGCTATGATCTCTGACGTGACAGAAAAGAGCATTGTTAGTGTCGGCAAGCCTAACACTATTTTTGTGCTCCCTAAGTCTGTCAGAAAGAGATCGACCAGTTTCACCGAAGTATTGAAGAGGACAGGAGGAGCAAGAAATAGAGTAGACACCAGGAACATCTGTAGAGGGAGGAGAGGTACGAACGAGATTAGTGCGAAGAGTGTTAGTCTGGCGGAAGGTAAGCTTAATGTCTAAGGGACGGAGAGAATTGTTAGGTAAGACACATATGCAACAGTTAGGTATCTTTATTTCGAAACGTTTCGCCTACACAGTAGGCTTCTTCAGTCGAGTACAGAAAAGTTGATAGAAGCAGAAGATACTTGAAGACGATGTAATCAGTCCATCACCCTTAAAGTTTTGAGGTGGTCAGTCCCTCAGTCTGGAGAAGAGCATTGTTCCTTAGTATGAAACAATATGGAGATGAAGTGACAGGATGGAGCCTTATATAGCACCAAGAGGTGAGACATAGGTCACTAGAAGAGGTAAGAACTCAGATGTTGGGAGGTCAGGTCCCTCTCAAATCCAGCCGTTCTCACTAGTAGAGGTTGTCGAAGTTGATTGTAGGTCTGTACCTACGTCTCACCTCTTGATCGCATCAAGAGAACTTTCAACAAAAAACTAAGGACTCTCTCCGACCTCTGTCCTCCTGACTTTGACCTTGTTCAACGGTTTCGTGTCATCTGTCCCTCTCTTCCCTATTTCTATGGCCTTCCCAAAACTCATAAACCTGATATTCCTCTTCGTCCTATCATATCCTCTAGAGGTTCTGTCTCTTATTCTCTTGCTTCTTGGCTGGCCAAAACCCTCACTCCCTTTCTTGGTACTTTTTCTCCTGCCCACCTCCGTCACTCTCAAGACTTCATTGAACGGGTTCGCTCTCTCCCAACCTGTAAGATGCTTAGTCTTGACGTTGAGTCCCTCTTCACCAATGTCCCTCTTGATGATGTCCTTGATTTCCTTAGAGAGAAGGCCCATGAAGGGTTTCTTCATCTCCCTATCCCCACTGATGTCTTCTTGATCTGACCCGCCTCTGTGTGGACTCTAACTCCTTTTCCTTCCAAGGGAAATATTATTCTCAAACCTTCGGTGTCGCTATGGGCTCTCCTCTCTCTCCTGTCCTTGCTAATCTTTACATGGAATACTTCGAGACTGTTCTTCTTCCTACCCTCGATGTGCAACCTTCACTCTGGCTCCGCTATGTGGATGACATCTTTGCTCTGTGGCCTCATGACTCCAGTCTCTTCCAACCTTTTCTTGAAGCTCTTAATAATGTTGCCCCTTCCATTAAGTTTAAAGCTGAATGGGAATCTAATTCCTTACTTCCTTTCCTTGATGTCCATGTCCACCGCTCAGATACAGGTTTTTCTTTTCCGTTTACCGTAAACCTATGCACAGTGGCATGTACATTCACTACTTTTCCTATCATGCTTCCCCTGTCAAGAAAAGTGTTCTTATCTCCCTCTTTCTCCGTGCCCTCCCGCATCTGTGATCCTCAGTTCCTTCCAGCAGAAATTTCCACTCTTCATAATTCGTTCTCCCGTCTTGGCTACCCTTCCCATTTCATAGACTCTGCCCTCTCACGTGCTAAACGCAATTTCTTCTCTCCCAAACTCTCTACTCATGGGAACTCTTCTATCCTCTGCCTTCCCTACATTTCCGGTCTTTCTAATCTCAACAATTCTCTCCGTCCCTTAGACATTAAGCTTACCTTCCGCCAGACTAACACTCTTCGCACTAATCTCGTTCATACCTCTCCTCCCTCTACAGATGTTTCCTGGTGTCTACTCTATTTCTTGCTCCTCCTGTCCTCTTCAATACTTCGGTGAAACTGGTCGATCTCTTTCTGACAGACTTAGGGAGCACAAAAATAGTGTTAGGCTTGCCGACACTAACAATGCTCTTTTCTGTCACGTCAGAGATCATAGCCATCCTATTGACTGGTCTTCTGCTAAAACTGTCTTCCCTACTTCCAACTCGAACAGTCGCCGTCTAGTTGAATCCTCTCTAATACACAACTTTCCTTGTATGAACCTTAGCCTGGCTTCGTCTCTGTAGATGCCTTCCTCTCCCACTACATTGTAAAATGCTCCAAACTTCAGAACACCCGTGACTTAACCTGAATCCTCACTTTTTCTTTTTCTTTTTCTTCTTCCTCTTCCCCTTTCCTCTCTCCTTTTCTCCTCTGGGTTGTCTTTCTCTCTCCTGCCTAGTGTTTCTGTTCCTTCTTCATTTATTTTATTTCACCACTTCCCCTTTCACGCACCTCTGTGCGCTTGCTCTCCCTCTGTGGGTATCTAGCTCTCTTGCAGTGCTCCCCTTCCTTTGTATTTGACTGGCTCGTCTTCCTTATTTCCCACTTCTTCCGCTACCACTACTACTACCTCTTCTTCTTCTACTACAACTACTGTTGAAATTAAGACACATGTGCGGCGTCTGGCTGTCTTTGTTGTGGACGTTTCGCCATCCAGTGGCTGGCTGGATGGCGAAACGTCTACGATGGGGATGCCCGGGTGTTGTGCATGTGTCTTAATTTCATCCTGTCTGAAGAAGCCTACTGTGTAGGCGAAACGTTTCGAAATAAAGATACCTAACTGTTGCATATGTGTCTTACCTAACAATCTGTCGGTATTTTATACCATTTTAATGTTAATTCTTGTACTACTACTACCACCTCTTCCTGCCTATATATAGCCGTCCTGCTCCACCACTGTTAGTAGGTTATAAATGACCATAATTTTTAAAGGGGTGGACCGGTAAGCCAGCGGAAGGCCTCGGTCAGATGACCAAAAGCTCCAAAGGCGGGTCATCATCTGACTAAGACCCGCGTCAGGAAACATTTGTCCTGTTTCCTGACGAACCTTACCTAACCTAACCTCTGTTAGTGTGACTTTGTCAATGGTCCAAGTCGGACCGAAACGTCGTCGTAAGCTTCTCTCTTTTATGTGCGGGTTATTTGTGTACAGTTCAAGAATGCATGCAAGCATAGGACCTGTCTTTGTAATACTCATTTGTATTTTATAGTTATCTGTTTACAATAATGTCTTATCACTGACTTCATCATTGCTTAGTTAATTTTAAGCCAGCCCGTAATGCTATGCATATAAGTGGCTTTGGCATGCTGCTCTTACCTGTATTTTTTGTACCTCTGTTTGTATGCTAAATTTCTAAATAAATAAATATAAATAAATAAAGGTGCCTGATGAATTTAGCGTCAGTAAGGGAGGAATTTTTTTTTTATTTTTTTTTAGCTAACACATGTAATCTCCCCTCATTCCTAGTATATCTTCTTTTTTTAGTGTAATAATAAGATATTATCTCCTTTATAGAATGCTAGTAAGATATTATTTCCTTAATATTATAACAATAAGGTAAAAGGACCCCAATGGAAATAAGTCACTGTCTGACTTTTTTGGGCTATCTTAGGTTCCTCACCCCTCAAAGGAGATTCCTTGATGCTGGTGAGGGGATCTTGATCTAGGGAATTGGATCTGTGCTCCAGTTCCCTGAATTGAGCCTAAATGCCTCCCATCCCCCCCACATGCGCTGTATAATCCTACGGGTTTAGCGCTCCCCATGATTATAATAATAATAATTAGGTTCCTCACACATATACTACGATGTATGATAATCTGTGTAACTGAATTTGTGTTAATCTCAATAAACTTACTTACCCACAAACGTTCCGTGTTTTTTTTTTTAGTATCTACACTACACAGCTCAGTTTTCAGGAGCCTTTACAAGCACAAGAAAAACAAGACAATAATATTTGTAAGTGTGTTTTTAATTTAGTTCTGGTATTTTGAAACTTACAATGGTTTTTAATATATTAAATGGTAAGTAAATTCCTCATCTGCTAGTGGTAATTTATCTCCAAGAAGAAATAGATTCGTTAGGTAATATTAAGAACCTCTTCATAAAATTTACTGTAGGTTTTGTAATAATAATCATCTTTATTTCTACAGTTACATGATACAACTTATATAGACCTAGGTGACAGCAGCAACATACTATATAGAGCATTTCGGGCAAATTAGGTTAATTTTGTCCCCAGGATGCGACCCACACCAGTCGATTAATACTCGGGTACCTATTTTACTGATATAATAATATTATAATATCTTTATTTCTACAAGTACATGTACAAGGTATACAGGCCTATCTGACATCAGTGACATACTACTATATAGAAAGCCGCTTGTTATGCTGAGCATTTTGGGCAAATTTGGTCAGTTTTGTCCCAGGATGCGACCCACACCAGTCGACTAACACCCAGGTACCCATTTTACTGATGGGTGAACATAGATAGCAGGTGTCTTACGGAAACATGATCCCATTGTTTCCACCCATACTGGGGATTGAACCACGAACCTCATTGTATGAATTGAGTGTGCAACCAACCGAGCTACAGGACACCATACTTCACACATTTTTTTTTTGACATTTTTGAGGACACACACACACATGGGTACATAAAAAGTACATTACGTAGATTTAACCTCAAACCTTAGGGCTTTAGGGACTGACTACCTCTTGTTAAGGGTGAAGGACTGATCACTACAACTACTGTCTCTAGTGTTGCATGTGACTGAAGAAGCTTGTTATACAAGCGGAATATTTTGTCAGTAAAGATACCATGAATAATAAGATACCTCCACCTCTCTTCTATCATCTCCCTCACTATTGTATATATCACTAAATGACCCATACTGATTTATCCATTCTATGAGTGTAATGATGATAATCCTGTTGTGAAAATATAGAATCAGGGAGGGGAGCATTCCTTTATGAATGTACAACTTACAGTATTGCCTTTCAACAAAATTTTTAGCATTTGCAATACAGTATATATAAATCAGGAAGAAAAGTTCCCAGAAGGGTCATTGCAATTAAAGCTGTATACTGTACATAGGTTCTTTCTTTCAAATATTATTTATAAACCTTTAATATACTTTAATATATCTATTTCAGAGCCTATACTTGCCATTACTAGTTACAAAATGAGAAGACGTGCGGGTGTTGGTGCTATTCAGAGACAAAAGATCCAGCAAGATAAGTTTAAAGAGAAAGGGAGTGAAATACAAGAAAATCAATTGGAACAGGTAAGAAATGGAGGAGCAGTTTACTGTTATGTCTTCATTATTTCTGAAATGTGTGGAAATTCTGAAGTTGTAGCCTCTTTTTTTATTGTCCACTTGCAGTATTTTTATAAGGTGTGGACACCAGCCTTCCATTGCATATTAGAATTTTGCCCTACTCACTAATGTGTACAGTGGACCCCGCCTTACGATATTAATCTGTTCTTGAGAGCTCATCGTAAGCCGAAATTATCGTAAGGCGAATTAATTTTCCCATAAGAAATAATGGAAATCAAATTCATCCGTTCCTGACACCCCAAAGTTTGAAAAAAAAAATTTTTTTAACCACATGAAATATTAATTTTAATACACACAAACTGAAGAAGACATGCACAATTACTACTCTACTAAGAATAGAATACATGACACTTACCTTTATTGAAGATCTGGTGATGATTGATGGGATGGGAGGAGGGGAGAGTGTGGAAGTTATTTCCATTAGGACTTGAGGTTTACCTGGAGTTTACCTGGAGAGAATTCCGGGGGTCAACGCCCCCGCGGCCCGGTCTGTGACCAGGCCTCCTTAGGTCATTGTCCCAGGATGCAACCCACACCAGTCGACTAACACCCAGGTACCCATTTTACTGATGGGGAACATAGACAACAGGTGGAAAGAAACATGCCCAATGTTTCTACTCTGGCTGGGAATCGAACCCAGGCCCTCGCCGAGTGAAGCGAGAGCGTTAACCACCAGGCCACCAGAGGTAGCAAGTCCTTTTCCGGGGTTACTTCCCTTCTTCTTTTAATGCCACTAGGACCAGCTTGAGAGCCACTAGACCTCTGTCGCACAAAAAATCTGTCCGTAGAGCTCTGTACCTTCCGTTTCTTTAAGACTTTCCTAAAATGGGCCATAACATTGTCATTCTACAGGTTGCCAACACGGCTTGCAGTAGCTGTGTCAAGGAGATTTTCATCCGTAAAGGTTTGCAGTTCAACCCACTTTGCACACATTTTCTTAATCTCTTTTTTCAATTCCATACTAATTCTCACCCTTTTTACCACAGGGATGGCACTAGAAGCTTTCTTGGGGTTCATGGTGACTTATTTTGCAGTTACAAGCACTAAAAACACTGGGATAATGTGAAATGTACCAAATGTATGCGTAGATGCGGCCGCACTGGCTGGCTTGTAAACACTGGCGCTGAGGCCACACTTGGGACGCGTCCTGGACGAATCATGTAAGGCGAGTTTTTTATCGTGAGGCGAGGCAAAATTTTTGCGTTCAAATGCTTCATATGGCGGATTTAACATAACGCGATGCGTTCGTAAGGCAGGGGTCCACTGTATTTTGATATTTTCTTACATTTCTCCCTCTACTTGCAGTATTTAAAGACTGTTTTAAAGTTACTGTAGCTAGTGTAGCAAATAAGTTTCTCCGGATTTTATTTATGTGATCTTGGTTGCTCTTAGGTCTTGCTCTCTTATGTATGTACCTTTGATGAGTTTTGAGAGTCTTTCTACTCTCAGAGCCTGAACATGGGCCTGGCATGTTTCACTTTCAGTTCCATTATATGCACTTTTTGTGTTTATCTGCATTAATAGCATCAACCATCTATCGCTGAACCTTCTTGAATTATCCAATGTTTCTTGGAAGGATTTCCAGTAATTTACATAACATTGCATAGATTTTTTCCATTTGCAAAGAGATTTACAGCATAGTACAGTAAGATAGTCTTTTAAAATCAGAGTAAAAATATGTTGACCTCTCATTCCATAAGTTTATGTCAATAGTTGTTTTAACTGCTCTGGTAAAATACAAGATAGATAATTTTAGAATTTAGAGGTTGTCTCCAGCAGCTGTGTGTTTTACTAATACTGTATGTCCAAATTTTTATAATTGCAGTTCTGTTGGTTTAAATTATCCATAATAATAATAATAATAATGAAATTAAGACACATGTGCAACATCTGGGTATCTTCATTGTAGACGTTTCGCCATCCAGTGGCTTTATCAATACAAATTCCAGGACATAACTTGAAGATAGTAGAATTATGTACAGAAGATGAGGTAATCAGTCCCTCAACCTAGGAGTAGGTGCGAAGAGCACCATAGTCATGGAGATTCTGAAGTAGAAGCAAGGCGCCTGACGCTTATATACTAATGTCAGGTGGAAATGGGACGGGTAGCAGACGAGGGCATAGTCACTGGTAGGCGGGAATCCCCAGTGGAAGTAGGTCCTACCCAAAGAGATGGGTTAGTTGTAGTAGTAGTTGTCGTAGTCGTGAAGGTTATGTACTATCTTCAAGTTATGTCCTGGAATTTGTATAGATAAAGCCACTGGATGGCGAAACGTCTACAATAAAGATACCCAGATGTTGCACATGTGTCTTAATTTCATCTTGTCAGTATTTTATACCATTCTTGTACAATAATAATAATAATCCTTTATTTCTACAAGTACATGATACAGTTTATGCAGACCTTGCTGACATCATTGACATACTACAGTGGAACCTCAAATATCAAACTTAATCTGTTCCAGGAGCTAGTTCTAAATTAAAAAATCTGAAAAGCGAAGCAATATTTCCCCATAAGAAATAATGGAAATACAATTAATCCGTTCCAGAAACCCAAAAATATTCACAAAAAAAAAAAAATACATTTAATTATAGTTTTACATACACACTACAAATATAGTGTTCAATTATGTATTAATAAATTTAAATAAACATATAAAATAACATTTTTACTTACCTTTATTGAAGATTGGTGATGGCATCTGGAAGATAGGGAGGAGGAGAGAGGGAGTTGGGGTTAGTGTTTGGAAGGAGAATCCCCCTCCATGAAGACTTCAGGTATCATAGCCCTCTCTGGGTTTACTTCCCTTCTCTGTATTTTAATGCCACTACTACCAGCTTGAGAGTCACTGAACTGTCTACAGTCGTCTGTTTCTGTCTCACAAAATAACTGTCCACAGTCCTCTGTTTCTGTCTCACAAAATGACTGTCCACAGTCTGTTTCTGTCTCACAAAATAACTGTCCACAGTCCTCTGTACATCCTGGCAAGCTCAACAAGTCTCACACCACTCTCATACTTCTGTATTATTTCCTTCTTCACATCTATGGTGTTTCTCACTTTCTTTACCACAGGGGTACCACTAGCAAGTTTCTTTGGGCCCATGGTAGCTTATTTCACAGTCCCACAAGCACTAAACAGAATGAAATAATCGTAAAATGTTTGAATGAGAGCGCAGGTTAGTGTTCACTCAAGCATCAACAAAACCAGACTGGCTCACGGCGCCTGCACGGGGGCGCAGACAGAGCGGGCTGTCGTACAGGTCTGGTACCTGGCGGTTCGAAAATAGGGCCGAGTTTTATAATAGGGACAAAATTGGTTCGAAAAAAGTGTTCGATTTTCAAAAAGTTCGATAAATGATACGTTTGAAATTTGAGGTTCCACTGTATATAGAAAGCCCATGGTTATGCAAAGCATTTCCGGTAACTTAGGTTAATTTTGTTTCCAGTATGCGACCCATACCAATCAGCTAAAACCTGCTTGCTGCTAGGTGAACAGGGACAGCAGGTGTCTTAAGAAAACACGCCTTATGATTCCACCCATACTGGGGATCATATCATGGACCTGTTCAAAGCACCATGATATTTTACCCTACCCCCTCGGTGTTCTTGCTCTTACCCTCTGTGGGCACCTAGCTCCCTTGCAGTGCTGCTCTTTCTTAGTATTTGACTGGCTCCTCCTCCTCTTACTACCTCCCCACTACTACTTCCTTCCATCTCCACTACTACTACCACCTCCTGCCTATATATATACCCTTCCTGCACTCATTTTCACAAGTGTGACTTTGTAAATGGTCCAAGTCGGACCGAAACATCGTCATAAGCTCCTCTCTTCTATGTGTGGGTTATTTGTGTATTGTGTAGCATATTGCCCTTGCATGTTCATGGTGTATCCCTGTATAATGTTTGTAAAAAGTGATTTCAGATATGTAACCTCCCAAAAATAGGAAATCCTTTATAAAATAAGTTATTTTTACATCTCTTACAACAACCCCCATTCCAAGTGGCCATCCCCAGCAAATGAACATAAATACAGCCTGGGGTTCTCGCTCTTTCTCAATTCTTTCTTGCGTAACTCTTTCATTTCTGTTTAACCCATCTCTTGGCACAATTAAGAATATTTTAATATTTATAATAGGGATTAAAGGAAATTATTTGTGTACTGTATATACAGACAAACACTTTGTGTGTGTGTATATAAACAAGCAGTTCTGTGTATATAGACAGGCAGCTCTGTGTATATAGACAAGAAACTGTGTATATAGACAAGAAACTGTGTATATAGACAAGCAGCTCTGTGTATATATAGACACTCAGCTCTGTACATATAGACAAGCAGTAAATGTAGGGTCCTGAAGATTGGGGAAGGAGCGAAAAGACCAGAAATGGGGTATAGACTAGGGGAACATAGGATGCAGACTTCAGTCAGAGAGCAGTGAGCATAGCACACATATTGCCAGAGGCTCACATCAGCTGAATAACCTCTGCAACCAATGCTTATCTGGCAAATCTTGGAGTAGCCCCCAGGAATGTCAACAAAGAGTCAGTCCTGTCTTTGTATACAACATATGTCAGGCTCACTTTGGAGTACGCAACATCAGTATAGAACCCTCACCTGAAAGAGTGTGCTGAGATACTGGAGAGAGTGCAGAAGTATGCAGCAAGGCTTGTTCCTGAACTAAGGGGCATGAGCTACAAGGAAAAGCTAACGAAATTGAATCTAATGACATTGGAGGACACAAGAACCAGGGGAGACATAACATAATACTCAGAGGAATTGATAAAGTAGATGGGGTAGGCTGTTTGAGAGGTGAGGAATGGGTCCTCAAGGGCACAGCTGGAAGTTAAAGATGGATGAACCACGGGGATGTTAGGAAGTATTTCTTCAGTTTCAGAGTGGTTGGGAAGCGGAATGATCTTGGTAAGGAAGTGGTAGGGGCAGGCTCCATATGTAATTTTAAGAACAGGTACAATAAGGCCCATGAGGCTACAAGGGCAAGTTAGAGGCTAGGCAGGGATCTGAGACATGACCCCTGCATCCACATACATACATACATAAATGTTGTGACTGCAGTACTGTTAATTTCATTGTTAAAAAGATTAATAGGGAAAAGTATTGTATATTTCATATGATGTATTGTCTAGGAATGAATCTCTGATTAAATGAATGTCTGGAAAATAGGGTTTGCTTAATAAGAAAATCACCTAGACTGATTTATTTGACATTCCTCCTGGTCATTATTACTGTAAGAATAAGAAAAAGAAGAAGAGGCCATTTTTTAATTATTGTATTTGAATGATTTATTATGCATTAGATTTTGGGTAAGCTGTGCCATTTGAAGGTTAATTTAATGGATTAATACAGCAAACCTGTGCAGTTAAGTGTAATATCTAACTAGTTACTGGTATAAAGGAAACTACTGTATCTCAAATTTGTATTTATTCTATAAAATGCAGTATTTAATAGAGCTGTCTTTGTTTTCAGATGACTCTTCAGATGGAAAAATTCCGTGAAAAGTTAGAAGAATTTGCCGCCAAGCACAAGACTGAAATCAAGAAAAATCCTCAGTTTAGAAAGCAGTTCCAGGAAATGTGTGCCTCTATTGGTGTTGATCCTCTTGCATCTGGCAAAGGTAAGTGACCAGTTGTCCTTTCTGTATTTGGGTAGCTTTTGCCTGCTCCACATATATATAACCACTTATATATAACATTGGTTATATATTTTTTCACAGTATACCTGGAGTATACATGGAGAGAGTTTTGGGGGTCAATGCCCCTGTGGCTTGGTTTAAGACCAGGCCAGTGGTTTTATATATATAACCATTGTGAAAAAGTAGTGAATTTCCAAGTACTTTTGTGATTTCTTACATTATCAAGGAACAGTTCCTTGATAATGTGATAAATCACAAATGCTTGGAAATTCACTATTTTTTCAGTGGCTATTTTGCAAATTGTAATATCACCTGTTTCTGTGGTCTTATTACATATTGTATTGTGTATACAGTGTATGTATATGTACTCGCCTATTTGTAGTTGTGTATGCAGGAGGGCCCCGATTATATGGTGAGTTAGGTTCCAGGGCACTGCCATAAAGCAAAAATCACCATAGAGTGAATCGCCCTTTTTTACACTTTTAAATACATACATATACAGTAATGCCTGATGACATGTTTGCACTACCATATGTGAAGTGAACAATAGACCTAGGCCTAAAAACTATAAAAAAGTAAAATGCGCATACAAGTACCATCCGACTTAACACCTGCTCGACATACAACCATTCGTACTTACGACTGTATGTCTGGCAGCAGGGCTGGGCGGGCCGATGCATACTACTGTATGACAGTTGACCACTACTCACAGCAATGCTCCATCTCAGGAGAGCTCTCACATCACTCACTGTATATATGTATCAGGACAGTAAATTTCACCATGGCCCCTAAGAGGAAGTCTGAATCTTTCACTGGAGCTTGTGGCAAGAAAGGCTCTTACTCTCGGCCAGAAGATGAAAGTACAGTGGAACCTCGGTATTTTATTATTATTATTATCACACTGGCCGATTCCCACCAAGGCAGGGTGGCCCGAAAAAGAAAAACATTCACACCATCATTCACTCCATCACTGTCTTGCCAGAAGGGTGCTTTACACTACAGTTTTTAAACTGCAACATTAACACCCCTCCTTCAGAGTGCAGGCACTGTACTTCCCATCTCCAGGACTCAAGTCCGGCCTGCCGGTTTCCCTGAACCCCTTCATAAATGTAACTTTGCTCACACTCCAACAGCACGTCAAGTATTAAAAACCATTTGTCTCCATTCACTCCTATCAAACACGCTCACGCATGCCTGCACGCATGCACACAAAACCTCCTTTACCCCCTCCCTCCAACCTTTCCTAGGCCAACCCCTACCCCGCCTTCTTTCCACTACAGACTGATACACTCTTGAAGTCACTCTGTTTCGCTCCATTCTCTCTACATGTCCGAACCACCTCAACAACCCTTCCTCAGCCCTCTGGACAACAGTTTTGGTAATCCCGCACCTCCTCCTTACTTTCAAGCTACGAATTCTCTGCATTATATTCACACCACACATTGCCCTCAGACATGAAATCTCCACTGCCTCCAGCCTTCTCCTTGCTGCAACATTCATCACCCATGCTTCACACCCATATAAGAGCGTTGGTAAAACTATACTCTCATACATTCCCCTCTTTGCCTCCAAGGACAAAGTTCTTTGTTTCCACATTCTCCTAAGTGCACCACTCACCCTTTTCCCCTCATCAATTCTATGATTCACCTCATCTTTCATAGATCCATCCGCTGACACGTCCACTCCCAAATATCTGAATACATTCACCTCCTCCATACTCTCTCCCTCCAATCTGATATCCAATCTTTCATCACCTAATCTTTTTGTTATCCTCATTACCTTACTCTTTCCTGTATTCACTTTTAATTTTCTTCTTTTGCACACCCTACCAAATTCATCCACCAATCTCTGCAACTTCTCTTCAGAATCTCCCAAGAGCACAGTGTCATCAGCAAAGAGCAACTGTGACAACTCCACTTTGTGTGATTCTTTATCTTTTAACTCCACGCCTCTTGCCAAGACCCTCGCATTTACTTCTCTTACAACCCCATCTATAAATATATTAAACAACCATGGTGACATCACACATCCTTGTCTAAGGCCTACTTTTACTGGGAAATAATTTCTCTCTTTCCTACATACTCTAACTTGAGCCTCACTATCCTCGTAAAAACTCTTCACTGCTTTCAGTAACCTACCTCCTACACCATACACCTGCAACATCTGCCACATTGCCCCCCTATCCACCCTATCACACGCCTTTTCCAAATCCATAAATGCCACAAAGACCTCTTTAGCCTTATCTAAATACTGTTCACTTATATGTTTCACTGTAAACACCTGGTCCACACACCCCCTACCTTTCCTAAAGCCTCCTTGTTCATCTGCTATCCTATTCTCCATCTTACTTTTAATTCTTTCAATAATAACTGTACCATACACTTTACCAGGTATACTCAACAGACTTATCCCCCTATAATTTTTGCACTCTCTTTTGTCCCCTTTGCCTTTATACAAAGGAACTATGCATGCTCTCTGCCAATCCCTAGGTACCTTACCCTCTTCCATACATTTATTAAATAATTGCACCAACCACTCCAAAACTATATCCCCACCTGCTTTTAACATTTCTATCTTTATCTCATCAATCCCGGCTGCCTTACCCCCTTTCATTTTACCTACTGCCTCACGAACTTTCCCCACACTCACAACTGGCTCTTCCTCACTCCTACAAGATGTTATTCCTCCTTGCCCTATACACGAAATCACAGCTTCCCTATCTTCATCAACATTTAACAATTCCTCAAAATATTCCCCCCGTCTTCCCAATACCTCTAACTCTCCATTTAATAACTCTCCTCTCTTATTTTTAACTGACAAATCCATTTGTTCTCTAGGCTTCCTTAACTTGTTAATCTCACTCCAAAACTTTTTCTTATTTTCTACCTCAGTATACGACCTTAATTCATTCCAGAAGGCTGTTTGAGTGCCGCTCCGTGTGAGTATCGAACAAGTTCTTCCCAACCAATTTTCTGTTTGGTTGGCAGTTATCACTAATCGTCGTAGGCCCCATGGTGACATTTATACAAATAATACAAAAAAAAATACACCGAAAAATGCGAAGAAACATGAAATAGTTTACAGTGAAGTTCTGGCAGGTCGTACGTATTTGTTTGGTGGAGTGCTGAGCTTTGTTCGAGTAGGGAGCTGGTCATATACTGAGGTTCCACTGTAATTAAATAGTATGTGGATGGAAAAAACATCAACAGCATTTCTCGCCATCTTCAGCTCTCCCATTTCACTGTGTCGACTATACTTAAAGATAAAGAGCTACCTGTTCGCCGGGTCACCATCTGGAGAAGACCCGGGCCGGAAGTACCGGCAAATCCCTAATGAATGAAGAGCTACCTGAGTAAATTCTTGGGTAGCTTTGGGTAGGGGTGGTTTTGATAAGGCCCTGCCTTGTATGGTCCAGTAGGCCTTCTGCAGTGTTCCTCCATTCTTATGTTCTTGTCAAAGAAGCAGAGAAATCTTCAACTCCTATGAAGTCGACAATTATCACAAAGAAACGTGAAGGCCCAATTGTCAAGATGGAAAAAATGCTTAGTGTTTGGTTAGAAGATTATAGGCAAAAAAAGTGAATGTGATGCTTTCTGAAGTGCAAAGAGAAGCAGAAAGTTTGTTTAACATGTTGAAACAACGTCCTGATGAGGGATATAATCAAGAATTTATTGCAATTGATGGGGGGTTTAGGAGATTTCGTCAGCGATACCAAATTCATTATGACATCATGCCCTACCCAGTATGTCGGCAATTTTCTAAGGTTTGACTTGCGTCCATTTTGACTTACGACCGGTTGGTTGGAATCAAGGTTGGTCGTAAGTCGGTTGATACCTGTACAGTACACTCATTACTTACTTTAAAATATTTTTGTCTTTAGCTTATACATGTAGTGGGTGGTGAGGAGTATTACTGCCTGGCAAAAGTGTTAGCCTGATTAATTACTTATGTTTAACAGTATTTTATTATGTAGATGAATGGTTCAGAGAACCATCAAGTTGATAAATTAGACACATGTGTAACACTTAGATATCTTTAATGAGGAAACGTTTTGCCACACAGTGGCTTCATTAGTCCATACAAAGGAGAATGGTGAAGAGCAGGAGGAGTTTTGAGGTAATCAGTCCCTCAGCCTAGAGTTGATGTAATCAATCCATCTATCTTGAAAAGAATACAGCATATGTGTGAAGAAGTGGCTTATATACTGAAGCCACTGTGTGGTGAAACGTTTCCTCATTAACTCCTTGACAGTCGCAACCCCAAATCCTTAGGTGTTTCCTAGTGTCGCAAAATTTTCAAAAAAAAAAAAAAAAAAAAAAAAAAAAAAAATTATGAAATGATAGAAAATCTTTTCCCGATTGTAATGACACCAAAAGAACGAAATTTGATATAAAACTGATGGAATTATGCTCTCGTGAAGTTAGTGACCTTGGCGATATTTACAAATCTGCGATATCGCCCAATTTGAGCCCTATTATCAGCTAATTCTATAGCTATGTTATGCAGACTACTGCAGTATTGTAATAATTGTATAAATAATGTCAACCCATTAATGACTGCCTGTTAGAATGACTACTTGGACATTTATTGGAAAATGACACCGTTTGTTTACTTTTGAACATCGGCAAAAATCAAACATTCCCCTAATTTGAGCTCCATTTCAAGGTTCTTTTCATAGTAAAACCAACCAAAATCACCTCTATTTCTATAATATGTTTTCCATTCTATCAAATGAGACCAAGAAAACGAGAATACAACCATAAATACTATACAAAAATAGACCACAAAGTCGGCATTTTAATTAAAAAAATGGTCGGAGTTTTTTTTTCTCATTATGCACTGCGTGCTGCAGGATTTTTTTTATATGGTGCACACTGACCACACAGACCCATTCTCTCACATGTGGGCCTACCAGCTTTTTCCTGCTTGATTTGAAGCCACTAGAATTTATGAGTATATATACGTCAAAAACAGTGGCTTGTAAGATGTATATATACGACCGAAACAGTCAGAGGGTTAAAGATACCCAAGTGTTGCACATGTGTCTAATTTTTCAACTTGTCGGTTCTCTGAACCATTCATCTAACTTCCTGTCAGACATGGCAACATCTTGGGAGCCTATATTTTTATGAAAAAAGTTGGCGATAACTGAACATCACGAAAACAGAGCCTAACGAAAACGGAGGATCCACTGTACTGACTATCTGCTCCTCCCCCTATAATAGTCCATGAAATCGAGGATTTACTGTTTTTTTTTATTTCTCTGGGGAGTGCAAAACCCATAAGGATCATACAGTGTTTGTGAAATAGGAGCCAGCCAGGAGAGGAAAAGTAATTCCAATTTCTTGGATCAAGAGCCCTTCAAATGTATCAAGGCACCCTCACTCTTTTTAAGGGGAAAAAAGTTGTAGAGGAGACCCAAATGTGAAAAACTACTATACTGGTATCTTTTACTGGGCTCCTTTATGAAAGCTGCCGTGTAATGCCTTTCATGACTTACTTTCTCTTTAGTTCCAGCATCTTGCTTCCTTTTCATTATCATGTTATTTATTCTTGCAAAAAAAATACTCTTTGGAACCTTAACATTTTTATTCTTTTATATACATGTATTCAGTTGATTGTTGCAGTTGAAACCGATGACTTATTTTTATTTAAGAAAACTATCATTCTGATATTTTAATGATGATGCTATTTTTCTTCTTTACTTCCAAATTTTCTTTTCACAATAATTTAACTAAATTTATATCAGCATTTTATATTTTAGGGTGGAAATAATTAGACGAAATTTGAAATAGATAATGTATTTATTATAAATATTTACATTGGAAGAATTAAAGACTTAGAATGAAACCAGTGCACTGAGGCAATAGTTAAGGCTTATGGCATGAGAGAGGAAGACTCCAGGTACATAAGTTCATGTACAATGTGTGTTTACAGTACAGCACAACATACATACTGTACATCAAAGCACTCCAGAAAGTAGGAAAATGGTTGACAAAGTCTCTAGGGATTTATTGTCGGTGCCAGAAAGGAAAATAGCATGTAAAAGCAGTTTCAAGAAGCTCGTTGCCAACCACTTCCTTACTTTCTGTAGTAGTGTTTTTAATATTCAATTGTCACGGAACCTGCAATTTATTATCAACATACATACACACATACATATATACAATATACGTACACATACTGTGTATAATGTTTAGTATATCACCAGGCAGGCCATACTACTGACCAGCTGAACTGGAGAAATAGTGAACAGTAAATTTTAATCGCTTCAGCTCACTGCTGAGCACATCCAAGCCTGTTACATGGTTATTTCATCATATCCCAGGTTGTAAGGCAGTAGGGTGTACATTACAATTAGGTAAAATGAAATGGTTCCTGAGCAGCCCATAAATGCTTAACACTGCGAAATTATCATGTAACTGGTTTGAATGCGTTAGGGCTGTGGGTTGGGTCAGTTGGAATATAGCATCCACTACATTTTATAGTTTCTTCACGTCCTTCTTGCCCCATATAAATGCTTCATATTACTGCTATTAAATTTAATAAAATACACTTGTATAAAATGTACCTTATTTGCATAACAGCACATCTTAGCTCTACAGCCATATTTATTACTGATATAATAATAGTTAAGTTGGCAGCATTATTTCTTGTTTATAGTAATATCTGCTGATACATTATGTGTGTAGATATACTAGAATATGCAGGTTTGCTAATGATATCAAACCTTCATAGCTGGCTCAAACAATTGTACCTTCAAGTCCATTTACAGTAACTTTTGTTAATATTGGAATGTTAGATTGTAAAGGAGCCTCACTTGGAACACGACGTGGTACATCATATCGCTCTACAGGATCACTTGGGATAGGGCGTGGAGTGTCGTATCTTTCCATAGGATCAGCCAAAGATCCAATTCTTGAGTATCCTGGACCAAGATTAACTGAAGATTGAGATGTAGGACTTGCAGGCACTAGACCACTTTGACCCAGTCGAGAATATGGAGGAGCTGGATCAGCAGTAGACATTTGGAATTCGCTGGGAGTAGTGCTAGTGTTATTGCCCTGGGGTGGATCTGGTAATGGAAGCTTAGAAAAAGGTATATGAGTCTCATGTTTTTGTGGCATTGGTAAAATCTCATTGGATGGAGACATTTTTGGGATCATATATCCTTCACAGTCCTCTACAATATTTGTGTAAGTTGGAGTTTCAGGAGTTGTGGCCTCCACTATTTTCTCCATTTTTTCAGAATTGTCTTTCTTTTCCTTAATTTCCTCATAGACATGATCTGCACTGTATATAGAGGAAGGACGAGGTAAAGGAAATTCTCTCGGATCAGAGACATCAGGGTTGTACGAAGGATTATCTACTGCTGTGCTCCAGTGGGGTGTGCCAGAACTTATGGATGTACTGTTACTGGCAGACCGAGAACGGCCAATAGGAAGAGTAGACACAGTTGACAAGGTTGTCCTGGAAGATGAGGAAGATCTGATGCTTGAGCCAGGCATCATAATGTATCCATCTGTCGCTGACCCAGTTACACTCATGTCTAAATATTGGTTATACTGATCCAAATCCATATACTTCATTGGAAGCTTCTTTTTAGGCTCTACAGCCATGACAGAAGTTGCTGTAAAGTCTGTCGTAGGCAGTGTTTTGCGAGGAAGATCCATGCTGTTGCAAGGAGATATCTGAAGTATTTTTCGAGTTTCATCAGAATTTCCTCTCATTCTGCGATATAGACAGGTAAAAAGCATAATCACGATGATGGAGAGGATTGTTGTTATAAAGACAAGTCCAATCACTAAAATGTTTGTAGAATCACCTTTAGGATCCACTAATGGTGTTCCCTCTGAAAAGTAAAGGAATTCGGTTTAAGTTTTATCACATATTTATTTTTATTAACACAGGCCATTTCCCACCAAGGCAGGGTGGCCTGAAAAAGAAAAACTTTCATCATCATTCACTCCATCAGATTATATTATAAATAAATCATAAAATAACTTTAACCTCAAATGGTTACTGTACTGTACAGTCACGTTTAGAATCTAATACGTACTTGGAGAAATTAAAAAATTTTTGGTAGTGGTGACATTGATTTGCACTGTTATATTTAATCTTGAAAAGTATCTATAAATTTCCAATTACATTTTTAAAATTAGGCAGGAGGGATCATAACTACAGATTTCCTTTGGCCCCAACTGATGTGAGCTTTTGGCATGAAACTTTCTAGAATACTGAAGTTATAAATAACAGTACATATAGGTAGAACACCTACCATGATTATGACTAGAAGCATTTTCAGGGTCAATAATGTGCAAGTGTAGTAAAGGTCCTTGAAACTCTGACTCTTCCTCTCCCACACGCACCACACAACGCCAATTTCCTTCATCCTGCTGCCGTACTTCACATAAACGCAAAGTGCAATTCCCTTCACGCAGGTCACCTTCTAGCCTATAGTCTTGTGTATACTCGTAGGGTTTGTTAGAGTGTTCTGCATCTGAAAAAGAATACCCCATTACAATATTAGACTGTTTTTCATGTGTTTTTCAGTCTGGCTGAAGCAATATGTCATTTGCTGTATTACATTGGAATTAGTGTGAAATATAATAAGTTCTATTAATAGGGTTCCTTAAATTTACATAAGACTCTATAACTTTAGCAGAAGGCCTATTGTTGCTTAAGTTCTTACCTTGTGACACATTAAACATGTCTCCATGAGGCATGATCCAAGAACACGATGATATGGGCTTATTAATTTGGCACTTGAGAAGAGCAGATTCTCCAGTAGGAACATCCTGGATATAGTCTTCATGAGTAAAATCAAACAAGACACGAGTCTTCAGGGTTTTGTCACCATGAAATTCAGACTGAAAAAAAAGTTAAAAAAATATTTAATCTTTTAATAAACTTGCATGATGCAATAATAATAACTTATAAAAATTCTGTAAAATATGCTGTATTTTGTACTAGCATGGGGGAGGGAGAAACATGGGCATATTGAGAGTAATTTTGTGAATCCTCTACGTATTATGGTATATACAGCATTTTTGGTATGGTGAAAATTTAGATGTCTTCTGTAGCTGAATACGTAATTAAATATATTCTTAATCATAAGCTGTTGAAAAAAAGTAACTTTGAAGCACATAGATAATTTCTGCCCAAACTTACTTCAGATTCTCGAGGTTCTTCTGGCGAGTCGTTCTCCTTGCGACCCCTACGATAAGTTAACTCAGACTGGTCTGTTGGGGGCTCCCACGTTGCTCTCTCAGATTCTGTTGATAAATTAAAAAACTATCTTTTAACTCGGTACAACTAACTCTAGCTTATTCTTCATATCATTTTAAATTATAGTAGTGTACAGTTCATGGCTTGTTTGTTATATGTACTGTAATTACTTTGTACATGATTATTGTTGATTTTCCTTTTTAAGATGTATGGTACTCACCAGTAATTACTCTGAGAACAGCAGGTCTAGTCATGTGTAGCTTTGAGGAATGGTAACTGATTGCTTGGCACAGCCACTGGCCCTCTTGAATTTTTCGAGCCTAGTGAAGGTATGAAAGATGCCAATTATACTTTTAATATAAAAATCTAATAATATAATTTATGTGGAATATATATTCCATGTAACAGATTCTTAAATAATAGTATCAAGTTTTGCACCTAAGCCAGGGTTTAAATATACATTATCCTTGCTTAAAATTATTATTATTTTTGAACTCGGCAGTTTTTTCCCACCAAGGCAGGGTGACCCAAAGCAGAAAACATGCTCGCCCTCATTCATTCAATCGCCGTCTTTCCAGAAGTGTACTGACATCACAATCAGATTATCCTCCAGCTGCAACATCCCTGCCCTTTCTTCAGAGAGCAGGCACTGCCCTTCCCACCTCCAGAACTCAAGTTCAGCATACTGGTTTCCCTGAATTATTATTATTATTACTTTTTTAATACACTGGTTGTCTCCTACTGAGGTAGGGCGACCCGAAAAAAAGAAGAAAAACTTTCACCATCACTGTCTTGCTAGAGACATGCTGATGCTAAAGTTCAGATGCCTCTCCTTCAGCATGTAGACATGGTACTTTCCACCTCCAGGACTCGAGTCCGGCTAACCAGTTTCCCTGAATCTCTTCATAAATGTTACCTTACTCACACTCCAACAGGATGTCAAGTCAAAAACTACTTGGATGTTCAAGCGCCTTGCATACAAAACCTCCTTTGCCCCCTCCAACATTTCCTAGGGCAATCCCTACTCTGCTTTCCCTCCACCTCAGATTTATACACCTTCCAAGTCATCCTTTCTAAATGTCCAAACCACCTCACCCACTCCTTAGCCCCCTGGATTATTCTTTCAGTAACTCCGCACCTCTTTCTAATCTCCAGACTATGAAGTCTTTACATAATATTTACACCACACACTGCCATTCAGACATGACATCTCCACTGCCTCCAGCCTCCTCATCTTTGTAACATTCACAACGAATGGCTCACACCCATATGATGAAAATAATAAAATCCACACACCCAAGCAGACAAAGACTGGGAATACAGTGCATTTCACTGGTTTAACCCCTTGACTGTTGCAACCCCCAATCCTGAGGTGTCTCCTGGTGTCGCAAAATTTAAAATAAAAAAAATTATTTTTTCTTATGAAATGATGGAGAATCTTTTCCCGATTGTAATGACACCAAAAAAACGAAATTTGATGGAAAACTGACGGAATTATGCTCTCGCGAAGTTAGCGACCTCAGCGCTGTTTACAAATCGGCGATTTCGCCCACTTTGAGCCCTATTTTCGGCTAATTCCGTTGTTCCAGTTGCCCAAACTCATAGCTATTTCTTTAGAACTCCATTTTTTCTATCGATTGAGTACAAGAAACTGCCCATTTACCGATTTCAACTACCTAATAATGTGGTCAGAAATTTGCAATTTGGCCAATTTCACGAAAACTAAAAAATATGACAATTTCAAAATAAGGTCCAGAATGAACAATGCAGACATTTCTGGCTCTAAAATAACATTTTCTTTGTTCATCAGTCATGTCTCCAGGCCCCTCTGATATTACTCTTGCTTTCTATTTTGAATTTTTATTCAAACAAAAAATAGAAGACTTACTATTATGCAGACTACTGCAATACTGTAATAATTGTATAAATAACATCAACCCATTTATGACTGCATATTAGAATGGCTAGTTGGACATTTATTGGACAATGGTATCATTTGTTTACTTTTGAACATTGGCAAAAATCAAACATTTCCCCTACTTTGAGCTCCATTTCTAGATTCTTTTTATAGTAAAATCAATCAAAATCACCTCTATTTCTATAATATGTTTTCCATTCTATCAAATGAGACCAAGAAAACGAGAATACAACCATAAATACTATACGAAAATAGACCACAAAGTCGGCATTTTAATTAAAAAAAACGGTCGGAGTTTTTTTTTCTCATTATGCACTGCGTGCTCCAGGATTTTTTTTATATGGTGCACACTGACCACACAGACCCATTCTCTCACATGTGGGCCTACCAGCTTTCTCCTGCTTGATTTGAAGCCGCTAGAATTTATGAGTATATATACGTCAAACACGGTACCTCGTAAGACGTATATATACGGCCGCGACAGTCAAAGGGTTAAAGCTTTGTGAAAAGTCTGAAATGACCAGTGTTATAGTGTAAGGGAAAACTGTACTAGATTTTGGAGGGGTTAGAATATAAGAGTGTTGGTACCACTATACTCTTATACATTCCCCTTTTTTGCCTCCATTAATATTATTATTATTATTATTAAAAACGAATCAATAAACTCTTATAAGTCATACAGCACTGGTCCGTGATTGAAAACTACTAAAAGTATATCAGTAATATTGTATATGGTATTTTGTGCAGAGTTAAATTTTTAATTGTATATTGAGTATGGTATTATTGCAGTTTACAAGAACACATGAAAATTTCCTTAGCATACCTTCGTAATTTTGATGGAGCAGTCCCTGTGATGTGATGCCGGAAAGTCTTTGACTAACACAGGAGATATACGTTTATCAAAGAAGTCTAGGCCCAATTCAAGGAAGTACCAGCGACATAAATTAACAGGGTTTGCCACCTATGGAGGGAATGGGAATAACATTGATTAGATGTCATGGAAATTGTGTTAAATATGATACAGTACAGTCTTAGAGTATTTCATTTCAGCAAGTTTGTCCCTATACACAGGATAAGTTACAATGGACATCTTTCAGTACACCATATAATGTATCGTATATGCCTGTGTACAAATCTGTCCCTAAAATTTTGAGATGTTAATTCAGGTTAAGGCCTATATTTGCCTGATAGGTTGACCCCTACCCCATGTTTGACTTTACTAGTTTAAAATATCACAATTTCCACAGCAGGAAGATACTAGAGAAATTCCAGAAATAAAAAATTACACAGGTCAGGGCGAAAATAAGTTATGCATGATCAAAGTCACTAGTGACATGGTTCTCAGACTAGTAGATAGATTAAAACTAAAGAAAAGACCAGACCCTGATGAACTGTTCTCAAAGGAAAGGAATGTAAGGAGGAACTTAACAAACAATTAGGTAGTCTTCTCAACATATTACTACAAACTGGCATAGTGGCAGATAAGTGAAAAATGGCATGTGTGATACATGTACCTATCTACAAAGGAAGTCATTAGCTTTGAATTATAAACTAATTAGCCTAACCTCCATTTTGGAGGTAGACTATTTGAAGCCACCTTGAAAGGGATCAGTGAATCTTAGCAGTTTTACAAAGGGGCATTCCTGCCTTATGAATTTGCCAATTTTTTCACTAAGGTATCTGAGGGGGTAGGTCATGAGAATGAATATGATATTGTATATATGGACTTCAGTAAGGTTTTTGATAGTTCCACACCAGAGATTCTTGAGGAAAGTATAGACACAGAATAGGGAGGAAATTTTTTCTTAGATACAGGCAGGGTTGACAGATAAGCAACAGAGTTTGCATAAATGGGGAGAAATCAGAGTGAGGATGAGATTGTGTGGTAATTCCTAAGGACATAGTAACTCTGGCTTTGCTGGAACAGAAATTTTGAAGTTCCCATAGGTGCTGAACCTTTAGGAGAGTACTTGATTATATACTCATTGCCCTACTGAAGTCTCTGAGCTCAGCCAGAAAGATTTCAACACTAAGAAATTCATACCTTACATGATGGAGTATGACAGGGGAAATTTAGCTCACTTTTGTTCCCATTATGTAACTGCCATATTGAATAGGGTAGCAGCATATTGCTGATGTATCCAATTTTGCTAAATAAAAAATCCCTTAAGGAAAACAGTTAACGAAAGATACATAGATATATTACTGTAAGCTATTTTATATTGTGTAAACACTTCTGTATGATTAGGTTTGTTTGCTATATTAGTTTGGTTCAAAATTAAAAACAAACATAAAAAAATGCATATCAGTTAATGGTTTTGAGAGGAAAGGGGGCTAATCATTAGGTGATCCACTACATCTTTGTTGGAAGAGGTGAAGTAATACTTACTAAACACTTGAGGACAGCCAGCTCACCCTCTGGAACAGTTATGTTTGAGGGCTGCGTAAGGAACTCTGAATCAGAAGATGGAGAACTTGGTAGTTGTGCTGATGCTTTAGGCAGCCACCAGATGATAGCACACACTGTGGAAGGTAACAATTTCTCATGAGATAAAACCATCTTTACTTTGCTTAACATCAAAACTTGGATATCAGTTTGAGAAATGGAGGACTACACCTAATGGTCAATTTTGGCAAAATATTGAAAATCCAGAAAATGTAATTATGGTGTCATTTTGTTTGTAATTAATTTGGAGTGTGAGCAGGGTAATATTTAGTGAAGGGATTCAGGGAAACCAGTTATTTTTATATAGCCGGACTTGAGGCCTGGAAATGGGAAATACAATGCCTGCACTCTAAAGGAGGGGTTCGGGATATTAGCAGTTTGGAGGGATATGTTGTGTATATGTATATGCTTCTAAGCTGTTGTGTTCTGAGCACCTCTGCAAAAACAGTGATTATGTGTGAGTGAGGTGAAAGTGTTGAATGACAACGAAAGTATTTTCTTTTTGGGGATTTTCTTTCTTTTTGGGTCACCCTGCCTCGGTGGGAGACGGCCGACTTGTTAAAAAAAAAAATAGTAACTAACAAAATCCACTCATTCCCTAAGGAACTAGGACATGTATTAATGTATTAATGTTAATGGTTCCTTGTATCATTGCCCTAATAACTTGGCCTCATAAAATGGAGAGGAAGCACAGTACACTATTACAGTAGTAACAGCTAGTATTAAGAAACACAGGAAAGTAAAGATAAATGTATACTGAAGGTAAGTTTGAATTAGTTTGGAACCAATTTTGTATCCAATTAATACATATTATTATTATATTCCTGGAGATTGCTAAATCCATAGGGGTCCCACAGCAACTGGAATGAAAGGTTAGCAGGCTTAATCCAAAGGGGAGGGGTGGCTCCAATACTTGGGATCAAGAGCCCCCCCTCACCAACATCAAGTTAACTTCCCCCCTCCCTTCAGAAATACAATTCATTCAGATGCGAGTTGACCAAACATCCTTGTTTTAGTACATTTCCGTATACAGTACCAGTGAGTCACACCAAGCAGCACAGTCAAATAAGCTAGCTAGTGTGCAATACAAACCAGGGCAAAAACAAATTCAAATTATTTATTAATAATGGAGCATTTTAGATTTTCAACCCAATTTACTTGTTTAAGTAGTTAAAATCTAGGCAGTTCAATAATTAAAATATCTAAAGGTAATGATAATTGGGAATGAGCTTGATGCACCACTTTGTTAGTCATAATTATTGTATGACTTTAAAAATGTATACTGCATTAGTTAATTGTTAGTTACATATTGTTTTGAGCATCTGGTGGACATTCCAGTGAGACCAAAACAGGAGGTGGGAGGAGGTGGTGGTGGTGGGGGGGGGGGGTGAATGAGTTGACTCAACAACTGGGCTGATGGATCTCACCAGGTGAGTAACTGAGAGTCAATGCTGGTTCTTCCGGTTGGGCCATGCTAAGTTGTGATGATTCTGTCACCATAACTCAAAACAGTTGTGGCTAAGATCATATATAACATTGTTGTGGAGATGTGTGTAAAAGTTATTTGTTCATTGTGGTCTTGATAAGATGAAGATTTATGTTTAGAAGATGGTTGTGCCTATGTGTTTCCTTTTACTGGTGGGACGCAAATAGCGCCACATAAGTTTAAGCACTAGATCGTGTTATTAGGATGCTCAGGAGGAACTTACCATCTAATATGCAATATAATGTTACTGCCCTATTGTAGTAGAGGAAAACAATTTGTGTGTGTGTGGGGGGAATCACTCTCTCTCTCTCTCTCCCTTTCTCTCTCCCTTTCTCTCTCTCTCTCCCTTTCTCTCTCTCTCTCCCTTCTCTCTCTCTCTCCCTTTCTCTCTCTCTCTCCCTTTCTCTCTCTCTCCCTTTCCTCTCTCTCTCCCTTTCTCTCTCTCTCCCCCTTTCTCTCTCTCCCTTTCTCTCTCTCCCTTTCTCTCTCTCCCTTTCCCCCTCTCTCCTTCCCCCTCTCTCCTTCCCTCCCTCTCTCCTCTCTCTCCCTCTCCTCTCTCATTGGTATACCATTACTTCCGAGTGTACTACCTGCCTTTAAATGAGCCTCTTATCTCTTGACCTTCTAATTTGCGTCCAGGTGGTCTTCTGCGAAATGTTCCATGGTTAAGGGTGTGCTGCAGCCCGTTATATCTTAAAGGTCACCATTGTCATTACTGCAGTTTGTGGTGTCAATGGGCGATCAGTTGAAGCAAAGCATTGGTGGTGTGCAAGCCCAGTATGGTAAAAACTTGTGTTATATTCATTGACAGGTAAAGCCAGTTTTTGCAGCACACCATGCGAAACGAGCGTAGTGGTTTCTAATGTATTTTTGAGACAAGCGATCACAGTTGAAAAACTTGCAAATATATATATATATATATATATATATATATATATATATATATATATATATATATATATATATATATATATATATATATATATATACACACACACATACACATACTTTCCCTCTTTCTAATGAAGAAAGTGTTATCATTTAATATCGTAAAACCAACGTTAACATTACTCACTGGATGACACGCACTAATTTAGTTCATTCTTTCTTCACGAATGACAAATGTTATTAACCTATATGTATATATAAATTTATGTAACCTGACCTAACCTGACTTAAATTAGCTTAGCCTAAGAAATAGAAACTATAAGAAATGGATGTTGAGCACCACGTCAGAAAAATGGACGTATTAAAATGAGGACAGATTGCATATTTCGTTTCACTAACCAAAAACCAATAATAGAAAAACCCCTCAATGGAAGTTCCTTGACGCTGGTGAGGGGCTCTTGATCTAGGGAATTGAATGTGCTCCGGTTCCCTGAATTAAGCCTGAATACCTTCCATACCCCCCCCCCCCACATGCGCTGTATAATCCTACGAGTTTAGCGCTCCCCTTGATTATAATATTAACAAAAAAAGCGCAACATATTTCCTCTGTTCTGAGAGGTTTGGATCGCCCAGATATATATCATTGATGTTGAAAACCTTTGAATTATATAAAGCTTGAAGAAAAGACAGGTATAGAGCAGGCTCTCACGGTAACCGTTTTGCTGCCTAGAATGCTAAAGTCAATTATTTAATCAAGCTCTACACTGCACAACTTGGAAAAAAAAAACTTGCTCTTCACTTGTCTTTTCCATATTTATGTCGTCAGTACACCTTTCTATCCTATATCTTGCTTGCAGAGCAATAATATCATGTATAGAGACCACCGTGATTTATATGCAGTGGTAAAACGACTGGACTCGTGTGTTTTGGTCATAAATACTGTGGACACAGAGATAAACATAAACCGTGTTTTCGTTCAACGCCTGATTCACATTACTGTGTTTAATGGACCATCTGTGTTTATTTTCTGCTCTGAGAATTATCAGTGGTTATATTGGTGGTTACACATTTTCCTCTTGTTTTGTTAGTTTGATTTATTGACCACTAGTAGTTAGCAACATTTTGGCACATTATTATGCGAGATTAATGATAATGCTGTCCTCTTTCAGTTTGGCAGTAATAAGTTGAGCATTTATCCTCGCTAGTACTGACCTTGAAGGTTCTTTTTATAGCAGCAGCAGCAGCAGCAGTAGGCAAATGATTTTGGTCTGCCCTCCCTCATGCTTGTTTGCTCCAGTCAGCATGTAACCCTCTAAGATATGATCACGATCTAGCTATAAGAAATAGCATTGTGGTAGGCCTACTGGCCTATGTAGGAAAGTACCCTGTCAATTTTTCGTGAACTTAAGAAAATAACTTATTCGAGGACCAGGGTTAAGTTGCACTTCACCTGTGCACTGAAATCAAGAATACTTTAAGAACTATAAGATAAGACACGAATACCAGCATTCACTGCAAGCAGCTCATTCCGACAACCGAGTTGATCTAGTCTGGTAATTTGTTCTGCTTAGTATAGCTCTGCCCATTTTACTCTTAAGACAATGATTCATTTAGACCACAAAGATGAATTCGACACAAATAGGCTTTCGCGAAATATGAGAAAGCTAAAATGCTAAAACCCCAGGAGATTAAATTAGTCTTAAGACCCGGACATAGTTCGTGAATCTCTTGGTAGACCTTGACTGCTGTCCTTGATATGCCACCCTAGTTTTCCGCAGTATTTGCTTTATTTCATCCAGCTCTTCTGAACAATGTATGCTAGCTTAGGTGTTGGTCCAGTGTATGTACGCTTTCAGTATACTTTTAATTATAGCAAGAATATAGGAAAACTCTGTTTTAGCAGTAGAGATATGGATGAAGGGATAACTGGAACAGTGCCATTGAGGCGAGTACTTACGTAAATTTTAAAAATAGGTTACACAACTACACATCACTTTTATCTTTAAACCCATCAGGCTGTGCTGGGTACAGGGACCTAGGACACTGTACTAGGAGCTCTTGCATGAGGCTAAGAGCACAGAAACAGGTCTTAGCCTCTGTATCGTCGTATGTAATTAGTAGGCGTAATATTGACCTGTTCGTAAAACTTGCCAATTGCCAGAGGCGCTAATATTAAAAAGCATCACCTTAAGCAAGATGATACTTCCTAATCATAAAGACGCGACGGACTCCATACACCATCTTTGTAAGTCAGGGTTGTTTCATTTCCTTATGAATCAGGGTTCTCTTTTCCGGTGTGCAAGATTGCCACATTTCCTCTTTCGTCCATGGGCTTGTGGAATCTGTTTCCTGACATTCTCTGTATGAGAAAATTGTCGAACTTAATATAGGATGAAACAGTAAGCAAACAGTTACAGTTTACAACACAAAGGTAGAAAGCAAACCGCTTCCAATTCCAGTGCAAAAAAAAAAAAAAAAGACAAAGTTTGCAGTAAAAACAATTTACGTAGCAAGTTAGGTTATTAGTTCCCAACTTCCAGTCACCTTTTATATACCTCCTCCCGTGTGTCGTATTAAAATTTGAGTTAATAATTAATAAATAATTATTGATGAGGTGTCATGTATGCGGACTTGGCGCACTGTATAATGCAGTTAGGTAGGAATCATACACTACCTGGGGAAATGGGAAGTAATCAGGCTCGA